GACATATCCCAGCCATATGTAGGATGTAGTGAATGGAGACTGGTGACTAAGGACCTATCCCAAACATATGTAGGATACAGCGAATGGAGACTGGTTTATAAGGACCTACCCCAAACATATGTAGGAAACAGCGAATGGAGACTGGTTTGTCAAGACCTATCCCAAACATATGTAGGATACAGCGAATGGAGACTGGTGTATAAAGACCTATCCCAAACATATGTAGGATAAGGTGAATGGAGGCTGGTGTATAAGGACCTACCCCAAACATATGTAGGATACAGCGAATGGAGACATGTGTATAAGGACCTACCCCAAACATATGTAGGAAACAGCGAATGGAGACTGGTTTGTCAAGACCTATCCCAAACATATGTAGGATAAGGTGAATGGAGACTGGTGTATAAGGACCTACCCCAAACTGATGTAGGATACAGTGAATGGAGACTGGTGTATAAAGACCTATCCCAAACATATGTAAGATACAGCGAATGGAGACTGGTGCATAAGGACATATCCCAAACGTATGTAGGATACAGTGAATGGAGACTGGTGTATAAGGCCCTACCCCAAACATATGTAGGATACCGTGAATGGAGACTGGTGTATAAGGACATATCCCAAACATATGTAGGATACAGTGAATGGAGACTGGTGTATAAGGACCTATCACAAACATATGTAGGATACAGCGAATCCCTCACAAAGTTACTAATTTATATGTTTCTTAATCAACAGAATATATATAATTAAAACATGATTTCTCATAAACTATTGTCAGCATTTAAAATAATTGAAATGCAAGGTGGTCAAGGTCTCACTTTTGATAGACTGTTTTAATGCATTGTTAAAGTAGGTTATATTAAGAGCTTGTTATTTGTCAAAGTTTTACTGAAGTTGTAACTATGTGGATGTTAAGTAGGTTGAGTCAGTTGCATAGTTGTTTGAATAATTTTTATTCAGTTTTATGATAAAATCGTTGCTTCGGTAGGTCGTATAACCAATACAGTAAGCTTTAAAATTGTTTTGGAGGAATGAAACATTAATCGGTAGGCTGTATCATTGGTTAAGTGGGATATATCACTGATTTGATAGGTTTGTACTTGTTTCGGTAGGCTATGAAATAGTTTTGGTAGAGTATATAATTGTTTTTGGTAGGCTATATCATTGGTTTAGTTGGATATATCACTGATTTGATAGGTTTGTACTTGTTTCGGTAGGTTATGAAATAGTTTTGGTAGAGTATATAATTGTTTTTGGTAGTCTGTATCATTGGTTTATTGGGATATATCATTGACTTGATAGGTTTTTTCTTGTTTCGGTAGGTTATGAAATTGTTTTAGTAGAGTATATAATTGGTTTGGTAGGCTGTACCATTGATTTAGTGGGCTATATCAATGATTTGATAGGGTTGTACTTGTTTCGGTAGGTTATGAAATTATTTTGGTAGAGTATATAATTGCTTTTGGTAGGCTGTATTATTGTTTTGGTAGATTGTGTAAAGAATAGCAAACAAAATCGTAGCACGATGGATGATAGGGATCCAGATAAAAAAGTGACTGAAGACACAAAACCTTCTATAAAGCTTGTACAACAAAAAAGAGAAACACTGTCGGAGAGACTTTAATATATGGTGGAAACTCGAGGATAGACATTCATTTTGACTGCGTTTATGGTAATATGGGGCTGATACGTTGCCATCTGCGTTCGAACTACCGTATACGCTAGCAAACGTAAACCAATTCTGTCCTTTATTTGCTCATATATCGATGTATTTTCACTAAACTGTGTATCTTCTAGCAGCATTAAAACATTTTTTTGGTGAAAAAAGAAGGATTGACTTTCATTTTCATTTATGAACGCAGTTGGCAACAATCATTATACTCCGTTTCTTTCAATGCTCTTTCAATAAAGCAACAACACCTTTTAAAAGCCAGAAAAAGAGATATAGTAAGTTAAATATATATGTAAGATTATATTATCGTCAATACAAGTGAGACTTGCCATGCTTAATGTCACACTGTTATCAAGGTAAATACACAGAAAATTTAGTCTTCATGACACAACGTGGTCGTCATTTAGTTCGATTTGAAAATGAAATAAGATGTTTTGTTTTCATTTGTAAGCTTTTTATTTCTTTTCCACACAGCAACAACATTCACATATTTTTAGAGATGCATTTTTGTCCAACTAGTTCTCAGTAACAGAAGATTCAATAAAGAATATAACATAGACAATGAAAACAAGATGCAAGGCTGAGCGTATCATTTCTTATCACGATATATATTGTTGATATTTTCTCATCAAATGTAAAATGAATTGAGAAATAAAAGCATTGCATTTATTTTTAAGAATTTAAAATTGAATACACCACACATTCGCCTTCGCCAGCTTCACTTTTTTACAGTGAGACGATAAGATACCCCTCTACCAAACATTGACAAACGTGATGACTTTTATTTGACATACGTTAACATTATACTAGTTAGTAGAAGCACACCATTCCTCCTGTATGGTGGACTTAACCTGTCACTACTTTTATATTAATGTGCCTGTCCTATATATAATTATTTATATAGACGTCTGGTATATCTCTGATGTTTTAGAAGCATTATATAATATCCACCACATGTGTACTTTGACCGAGTACACTGTGTTTGTTCATTGGTGACTGATATAGGGTTCTGGACATCGAACATGTTAACGTATTTGATTAATTTATGAGAATAAATTGACAAAAACTACACTCGGCACAAATACAACATTTGGTCACAAATACTTCACTCGGTCACACATACTACATTCGGGCACAAATAATTCACTCGGCCACACATACTACATTTGGTCCCAAATACTTCACTCGGTCACACATACTACATTCGGTCACAAATAATTCACTCAGTCACAAGTACTACACTTGGTCACACCTCACACAGTCGTCTTTTAATTCATTCTCGCAGAAAAATCTACTTTCCTTTATTTCACTAGGGGAGGGTGTTGAACAGTGGTACGACGTCATTGTTACGCCGGTTTCATGACGGTTAGATTTTACGTATGACGCCTCCCTGTATACCATACGCTTTTGGTGCTTCCCTTGCCAGCAACATACCACACGGAGACAGAACAACACATGGTGCCGGAATTTAGAATTCATCCAATAGAAAATAACTGGATTAACTCCCGAGTTGCTAAATGCTAGCCAGTGAGCAGTAAGCCATAGCATATGCACACACTGTGAGTCAAAAATGGATTGGTCCAGGTCTCCGATGATAGTTATCATATGGAGTGGTAGCCAGGACAACAGGTAAGCAATCACGACCACAATGATCATTTTAATTGTCTGAAAACAAATAAACAATTCATTCTTAATGTCATATGAAAGTAATATGTCATCAAAAGTTTTGTATGCGACCTTTTGTGGTCCAGTGGTATAATTGTTACACAAGGAAGCCAATATACTCACCGCCATAGTTTTGTGTTACGGGAAATAAGTTTGTACAAAGTTAACACACGAATGCTGTCTTAAAGTGCCAGATTTATTACGGAAACTGAAGAGACAGGGATGGGCCGTTCTTAGCATATATTTTATTTGTTATATGATTTACATGTACAACTGTTTGTGAAAAAAAAAACAATTTTCAAAAGAAAATGAGATCAGTGTTGTTGTAGCGGCAAACGTTACGTAAAAAGGTTGTAAATGGGCATGTGTTTACTCGTATGACATAACCCCTGCACACTCTAGGATAGATATTGGCTGTACAAATACTAGTCAAGTTATCGGTATGAAATGTCATAACATGCTGAATTGGATCATACGTTGATCACCCCACCTGGATTTCATTAAAACTGTCTGTTGTAGATCAAAACATCAAAGCTACGGAATTAATATGTTACCTTCTTTTTAGAGGTGGCCAGTCGTTCGTCTCTACGTGTGTTAGCTTCCCCCGGGGTTCGTTTGATCCAGATAATGACCCCAATGTGGATGTATGTGAATGCCATGATGATCAGTGGAATGAAGTATTGAAGCATCATGATACAAACTCCGTAAATACTTCTGACGAAATCGTCCGGCCATTTCTCCACACATAGACCTTGGGACCCAGGCTCATAAGGCATGTACTCAATTTTTGAATATATTGATGTGGGAAGAGATATTAAACATGATAAGGCACATATCACCATCACCAACAGTTTTGCCCGGGACGTTGTAAGGCGTGACTTCAATGGCCTAGTGGCCACGTGGTACATGTCGCTTGTCATAGCGACAAGCATGAAGGATCTGAGTAACACACTTGACATCTGTACGAACCCAACAATCGGACAGAGAAAACTCCAGAAAGGCCAGTAATGGAAAAACAGATTGCTAAGTATTGAGAACGGAACGCACACTATAGTCATGATGATATCTGTTATAGCGAGGCTGACTATAAAGAAATTGGTAACTGTGCGAAAACTGTGTATCGTATAATTCGTGTAACAAATGACGCCATTCCCTAATAACACAACCAGACATGTGACGGCGTACAATACTAAGAGGATGAATTGGAACCCCTCGGGGATACCATAATCGTGTAAAGAATCCACACCGGAAGAATTGGACACTGAGCTTGAGTTTAAACCGTCACGTGATTCCATACTTTGGTCATTTGTTATTTTGACAAATACGTCCGACATTTGTTATTTCAGTCTTCAGCGGATTCGATAACAAGATGGGTATGTCCTAAGGAACCCCATACACTCTAGATACACAAGTAGACACAAATCGACGAACGTTTAGAGGATAACAGTACCGAAACATTGAAATATCGGCATAATTGGCCAATTGAAGAAGTGGTTTAATAATCTGTCACTGTGGTATGGTACATATACAATCCGGGTCTGGGCTAAAATAGACAAGAACACAACATTTATATAGATATTTGTATATGTCAGATATGTATATAGTCATATAAATAGACAAGAACACCACATTTATATAGATATTTGTATATGTCAGATATGTATATTTAAACAATAACTGGTTGTCTGGATATAATTATTGTTGATATAATTACAAGTGGCCTCTGGCAAATCCCATAAAATCCGCTAGGGTTTTATGGTAGATTTTCCAGAGGCCACTTACAATTATATCAACAATAATTACATCCAGCCACCCAGGTATTTTTCATATTTACATGTTTTTCTTTTTTAAGACATATTCCTACAAAAACCATTTGCCCTGCCTCAAAATACATTTCAGACGGCCATTTTGTTTGTTTACATATTCCTACACCTGAAACAGGCAGTTGTAATTATAGTCGAGCAGTTGTTATTATAGCCTTTATAATTACACTTGCCCTCTTACACTTTTGTAATGGGACGGCGCGGGGGCAAATGTAAATATAGTCATATAAATAGACAAGAACACCACATTTTTATAGATATTTGTGTATGTCAGATATGTATATAGTCAAAAAAATAGGACGTTAGCAATGCATTGGTTATCATTTTACTATGTAGAAATTATGTGACCGAATACAATAGGACATTAGCCAGGATCATTGCTCAGGCACATTTGAAATACATTTGAAACGACAATATTAATCATGTCTGGTAGTTGAAAAGTACTAGAGTTATCATATAAAACCATTGTAATATATTATAACTATTCATTTTAAAGCACCCTTCAAAAATGCCAGGGTTACTTATGTAAAGCGATGAACATTATAGGGTTGATAGATATATTCTACACAACCAGGAACTTTTGGGAGCAGCACTACTCTGACCTTTAACCTTGTCATTAGCTTCCGTACCTGCACAGGGGTCTTCCCCGAATACCAACTCTGCTTAAAATCACATGTTTACATAGGTGGTCAGTTGTGATGATAGTGAGTTATAGTCTATTGCAGTAAAGTGTACAGGTAAATTGCACAGGTAAATCAACTTCTGATAACTAATCAGATAATCAATAGCTGCTAATAATTGCAAAAGAATCAATAATATTTAGAGTTCCGATCCCAAGCTGTTAAATGGGTAATGTATAAAACAGCAGCACACTTATCATTATCATTTATCATATTTCGCTCTGTACTTGGAAACATCAACTCCTTTACTCAGTGAATGTGATTTTTGTATTCAGAATTTGTCATCGTTTTAGTTAAACTTGTACTTTCAGACTTGTGTGATTTCTCTTATAATTATTGTCATATAAAACTTGAACTTATTTTCAGATTTGTGTGAAC